CCTAAACGGATTATCAGCTTCGCGACTTTCCCGAACAGCACCTGCTGCACTCTAGTACCCCGAGATTTTTTTGGTGTGTGAGTGTGTGTGTGTGTGTGTATGTATGCATGTGTGTATGTATGTATGTACATCATCTCGACCACTTTTGTAGCAACAGTTATCGCACAGGTCAGGAGGTGTTCTAGCTCGAATTATCCCTTATTTAAATCAACCACATTTTCACTGAAATCAAACCGTAGACGCATTTACATGAATATGCGACAATTTTCAAATGGGTGAACATGTGCATTGCCCCATTTTATCCTTCGGTAAATTTATGCCAAATTCATAATCGACAACGAAACGAACGGGAAAAACTGTATAGACAGAAAAAACACAAGCAAATCAGCATTTCAAGCAACCAGCTTCTCTGCATAGCCTTCAGAGCTTCTTCGCTGCAACAAACCTCAACCGATGCTGCTCCTCACATAATTCAACCAACACAGAAGCAGACCTTCAAACTCGCAAATTTAAGCGCACAGAAAACGATGTATTTTTAAGGGATGAGGTTATTTGGCTAATTCACACTTCAAACAAAACAATTTAAGACAAAGATTACGGAACACAGCAAGTCCAATACAGAATCAGCGAATTCACTTGCCAGCTGCAATGCAACTGTGTTAACTCAGCAGCCTGATGAGGTGCACCTGCAACAGAAAAAAAAAAAAATCAAAGCGGAGAAAAATGGAACGAAGCTAGCGCCATTTTTCTTCCTTCCCTTTTCGAAAATTATGTGATCCGGCAGTTTCTGCTTTGTTCTTCTGCTCGAACGGAACTGACAAAACCAATATAATCCCCACTCTTTTTCAACCTTCCGCAGAACAGTGACGTGTCCGAACACAAAACTGTATTGATGTTTTCAAATTTCAAACCATTTCTAATATAGTCCTGTAGGTTTTTACAGGGATCCTTCAAAAAACCAAAGAATTAATAATGTGGAACGGAGTAACCGCACCAAGTGTGTTGCCCGAGATAAGTCAGGTACAATCGTCAAGAGAATTAAAAAATCGAAAAAAAAGAACTCGTTGTAATAAATGACTGAACAAACAAAATTCTCAACGGCGCTTTTTGGAGGATGCGCCCTCATCAGCCTTAGTGTCGGCTGGTCTCTTCTTCACTTCTTTGCCTGTTTCCTTCGCAGATTGCAGCAGCTGGCCAAGACCGAAAATATCCTCCTCCTCTTTTTCAAACTGAAACAATTTCCAGACATTATTTAAACAGCAGTTTAAGGCCCACTGAAAAGTGCAAGTCGAAGGAATGCAAACATGTCAAGGAGGAAACTCAACTGAGCACGCCCATCCAAACATCCTTTTATAGAAACTGCGTTCCCACGCAAAATACGAGAGATCTTGGCAAGGCTACGTCACAGTATCGCCTTGGGCAACAGCAGGGAAAAACTTACTGCACCTTCCTTCAAAACATACAATACTAAAGAATAGTTCACTATCAAAAAGCCCAGCAGGCAGAATGTGAACTTTTAGCACATCACCGGTCTCACTGCTGTTCTTGTTGGTCCGAACAGGAAACCGGTGAGTTCCCATAATCAAACGAAAACGATGCTATCAGGGCCAGCAAAAAAAG